CGTACAACTCAGGCTCTTTGCCTTAATACACATTTGCTTGGTGAGGTATGGCCTAATTTGGCTTACCTCTAACTGAGCCGATAGCCCTTCATTGTTTGAAGGGGCTGTCCTGTATTTGCGTGAAATACTTTGCGAGGAAACTCGCCTTACAGTCTGGTGTTTGACCAGACTGTACGCACTGTTTTCTTTTCTTTGCAAACAGTCGTGCGCGCGATCTTTGCGTGCGACTATGCTCTCCGTCTCCTCCCCTCCCGACTTTAAGGGTAGCTCTTTGGGAGATGTTACAGTATCGGGAGCATAGCTCGCGCGCCGTTGCCTTTGGCCCAAGGCACGCGCGCCCTATTTGCCCGGACACCGCGAGTGTTCGCTATGTGCTGGAAAGATCATTACATCGATCTTATCCCATCTTATTCATCCACCCCTCATACTGTACCTTCACAGCAGAGCGATGGATGCAATTTGCCAGGCTATATGCCATATTTGAGCTACCAGGCTCACTTTCGACTAGGTGCGCATCATCGAGTCATTGCGTAGCTTCGAAGCTGTTCGACTGCCTGCGCACCATCTAGCTGAACAAGGCAGAGCGAGACATCAGACGCATTTCAAGCACGATGCTGGCGGAGACTGCCCCGCATCCCGCACTCCTGCATCAGCCGGGTGAGCAACGCTTGCGTGCGGCAGACGTGCAGAAACCATGCTTTAAGTTTTTTTTTGTCCTACCGCCAACCCGCACTCATAGGCGACATGTCTCCTCCTCGTCTTCCTGTTCCTCCTCCTCCTTCATGGCCTCCTCCTCCCCCACCTCCTCCTCTTCCTCCTCTTCTGCCTCCTCCTCTTCCTCCACCCCATCCTTCTCCTCCACGCTTAGCGTGCTCGTTGTTTCATTCTATATGTTCCGTTTGAGTTTTTTTTTTTGCCAACGCGCCATGACGTGCACGGCGTTTGTCTTTCTGTCTGTCCTCGCCGTTGCTGTATTGGTCCGGCGGCACGGTCGGTTAACCGACCGTGTCCGCTTTTGACGCGAATTTACAAGTTGTATACCTGTTCGCGTTCGAGCAACTCACACATCCCATTTCTTAGTTGGTGTCGGAGTTTCGGTTTCTTTCCACGCCTCAGCCATGACCCGTGTGTCACACTCGCGTCCAATCCCGATGACCAGGACACCCACCTCTCCGTCCAGTACGCCAACACGCTGGACCGAATTCGCGGTGGATGTCCCCGGCTTTTGTGACCGGGGCGCCGCATCCGTTTTGCGACATATTCGACATAGGCGACGACATTGCATTCATTTCGTACCAATTTAAACGGGTACATTTTCGTCGATTGCTACAAGGACCGCGGCTCCGCGACGCCACCATCTGCTGTTTTCGGGGCGTTTCCAGATAACGCACCCGTGAAACACATTCCCTCAGTTTGCCATGAGGCTGATAGTTCCCATCCCTGTACATACTCTTAACATGACACGATGATTGTTTCATTCGTTGGAGTAGTTTCCGATCCAAGCATTTTTTATAATTCTGTTACCCCAAAGCCGGAGCCGAAACGATTTTGCGCCCGACCCCGTGAATTATCGAGCGGGATGCGCCCGCGCGCGGAGTGGTGGGCGTATCCCTACACCGAACTATTATTCCGCGTTGATGCGCTACTGGCGAAGGCAGAGTGCAAGAAACGCTCATCATGGTGATGGTTCGAGCCCACCGTTGATCCGCCAGCCGTCAGTAATGAGCAGTTGATCGATACAGAATGCACATCAGCGGCCAAACTCAAAGACCCCGAGCTTTTCGCAACTGTGTCACGAGAGCCCTGGAAAGAGCAACAGGAAGGCGGGACATCCGTTGGGAGTCCGGCGACGTTGTTGCGGGCGCTCCACGGGGTAGCGAAACAGACCTAGGATTATTGAATCGTTTCGCTCATTCCGCCGGCCCGTGATATGGCATCGCTGGTTTTTGTCAGTGTGTTCGTTGCCCATGTTGCGCTCTTGGGGGCGGGTGTCGTTCGGACGCGTTGCGTGGGGAGTTTTGATGGTGAAGCAGTTCCCTGGGGGTCGTCTCTCGATGGGGCGAAATAGAGTCGTCGTCAAGATGCTTCTTTGGGGGGCCTCTTGGGGTCTGTTGAGAGGCCGTTCGGGGGCGCCTGGGAGACATGTTTGAAGCCTTCTGGGGCTTCTTTTGGGCCTCCTGGGAGTCTCCTGGGGCCTCTTGGCGACATCTTGGGGCCTCTTGGAGGCCTCTTGGGGCCTCTTTGGGACCTCCTGGGCGCCTTCTGGGACGGAGGGCTCCATTTTTGAGTTCTCGGTATCCCTCCTGAGTCCCTCTTGGGCCCGTCTTGGGGCCTCTTGGTCCGTCTTGGGCGGCACTTGGGCCGTCTTGAGGGCTCTCTTGGGTCGTTTCGGCGCCGTCTTGGGAGCTTCGTGGGCCGTCTTGGAGCGGTCTTGGGGGCCTCTTGGGCCGTCTTGGAGCGTCCGGAAGCCGAAAAAGCCAGAACACAAAAAACATAGAAAAAAAACAATGAAAATCAACGATTTTGGCCTCTTGGGGCTCTCTTCGGAGGCCTCTTGGAAGGCTCTTGGGGCGTCTTGGAGGCCTCTTGGGCTGTCTTGGGGGCCTTTTGGGCCGTCTTGGGGTCATCTTCGGCGTCTTCGAGCGCTCTTTGGGCGTCTCGGGGGCCTCTTGGGCAGTCTTGGGGGCCTCTTGGGGCACTCTGAGCGCGCTCTGGGGAGCCTGAGAGGCCGCACCCAGAAGGAAAACCATCTCTGAGTAGACTTGGTCGGGCGTTGGTCGGGGTACTTTTCGCCGGGGGACCCCCAGGGGCCGCCCCGCGCGCGCGAACTAGAAATACTGTTAATACTGTTAACCAGTTACCGGAGATCTTAGCACGCCCTGGCCCGTTGGGCCGGCGAATATATCTTCGATCCCATCGAGCATAACCTATCGCCACATTTGTTCGTTTCCTTCGTTCTGGCAGGACGAGAACCCGATACGCACTCCCTTAGACCGTCGTGGAAGTGATGGCGCACGGTACATCGACGACGCGACGCGCGAAAGGCATTCCCTCATTTATGTTGCGGGATGCTTCGGGATGGACCTCCACTCCGGATGGAAGGCCATCGGGGTGGGCGTGCTTGCCGCGGCCAGTTGCTTCGCCTGCGCGGGCGCAGGCGTCGGCGGCAATGCGCCGCGTTTCCGCGCCTGGGGGCCCGAGCAACAATCTCGAGTGCCTTTCCAGCGATGGGCGCGGGAGGTCGGTCAGTGGCGAATTCAGACCTCAACGAGTTTCGCCGGGCAGCCTGTGCATCGTCGCGACATTCTGGCACGGCCCGCGAGTTCATGGATGAGCGGCGCCTGCTGTCCTGATCCAAGGAGGGCACATCCACGGCAACCCAGCGCCGCCGATGACCGTCCCACCGCAAAGCTCGGCCGAACGGCTTGGCCGACAGGGCGAGGAGGAGCGTTCTTCATCAGTCTCACCTTTCACGAACTTCAGAAAATTGCTGCAGGAGCGCGTCGACAACCTCGCGCGTTTCGACATCTTCCGCAAGCGCGCGCAACGAGCTGGTCAACCCATGGCTTTCTACTAGGGTCTCATCTGCGTCCTCTCGCGCGTGGTCGGAGTGTCAAACGCGCGACTGCCTGAGAGATTGCAGCCCAACGGCGTGACCTACCCGACCAACGCAGCGCTGCTCGCACATGACTGGGCAGTTGCGACGCTTTTCTCCACGCGGTCGGGGGGTCGCCCGGTAATCTCGCCGCAGCGGTCACATCGGCCAACGGGCGACTTTCCTCGCGGAAGCGCCCGCGCGCAAGATCAGGCTGACAGTGTCTATGACATGGCGGCCAGATCGAGCTGGGGCGGCCTGGTCACCGCAGCGTTGGGAGAGACGCGCCGAGCCCCCCCGCGCCAGCGCCGCCAGCGCATGAGGCATTCCCAGCAGCAGGCGTAGACTCAGGTATCGACGCCGACGCCGTCCGCTCATTCGGCGAAGGAAAACCAGCCGCAGACGAGCCCGAATTTCGCGACGCTCCGGGGGAACAACGCGACGCGTACCCACATGGGCTTGCGAGCGTGCCAGCGCACGCATGCAACGCGCTCCGCTTCTGGAGGGTCATTAAGCTGGAAGGCCAGGCCTTCCTGGCCGACTTGTCCGAAAATGGCCTCCGAGTGATGTTCGCGGCGGGAAGGGCAATGGTAAGGGGGAAGGCGGGCTCGGGACCAGCAGCGCTGGTTCGGGCCGACAAGGTAACCCCGTGGGCCCTAACGGGGCGCGTCTCAAGCGCCACGAATGCGAGTCCGAAGAGCACGTCGCGCGCGACTGCCACCGGCGCCGCAACCCAAGGAGCACTCTCGTTTCCTCGACGCCTGCGCCTGGCCGCCAGCATCCACGCCACTCGCCAGTAATCCCCCGCCTGTCGATTTTTTGTTCAGCCATTTTGTCGGGTCCCGGATGTGGTCGGGGTGGGGCGGTTTGCGCCTTGACGGCAAACGAGGCGCAACATATTTTCCGGGCCCGAACGGTAACAATGTTTTTTCTCTGTCCTTTAATCGTCTCCGTCCGCCGCTGTTGTTTTTTGTCTCGGGGGCGCGGTCCTCTAACTACCGTGCCCGTGCGAGATTCATATTACTTTCCGTTTAAATCTGCTCACGTCAGAGCGAGCGCTTCCTTCAAACATATCATTTCTTAGTCTCCTCCTCCTCCTCCTCCCTGTTTTTTTCCTCCTCCTTATCCTCCTTTTTCTCTCCCTCCTCCCCCTCCTCTGCCTCATCCTTGTCCCCCTCCTCTGGCTACGTCCCCGCCCCCGTCACTGGCGCGAATGTATCCGCGCCTCGCGCGTCGTGTCCGGGGGCCGCCGGGGTGGCGTCGTTCAGGGAGCGTCGCGAAGGCGCGAACGCGACCGTGCGTCGCGCAGCGCTGGGCGCGGTTCGCGAAGGTGTGGCTTCGGATGGGCGGCGGCGGTGGCTGGCCGCTCGCGCCCTCTCGGCCCCTTCCCCCGCCGCCGCCCCAGATGTTGTTCTGGGTGGGATGGGCGACGGCGTCGGCCACGCTGATGCCCTCGGTCGACAGCCTGGGCCGCAAGGCCGCCGGGGCGGGGTGGCGGGGGGGGTGGGCGCCACGGGGGGACGGACGGAGGGAGGGGGGGGGGAGGTGGAGGAAGGGGAGGGGGAGGGATGATGAGGAACGGGAGTTGGGAGGGGGGAGGAGGAAAGGAGGGTGAAGGAGGATTAAGAGGAGGACGAGGAGGAGGAGGAGGAGGAGGAGGAGGAGGAGGAGGAGGACGAGGAGGAGGACGATGAAGATGAGGAGGAGGTGGAGGAGGAGGAGGAGGAGGAGGAGGGAGATCGGAGAGGATGCCAGCGAGAGAACCTCTTCCACATGACGTTTGCCAACGTAGTGCGCCAGTAATGTATACTCATTCCTCCAGCGGGAGCTGTTTTCATGATCTACGGGAACCCTGACCGAAACACGATGGGGCACGCTCGCGATGTGTGTTGGGGGTTGTGCGGCCAGGGTTGGAGTGTGGTCGTCGTTTTGCCTCCGCTGCGCCGCGCGCTCCCTCCTCCTTCCCATGCCTCTTTGCACCACTGCGCTTGCTTTTCTCAGAGAGGGCTGATGTCGCTGGTGGCGCACGTGGTACGCGCGCCACCCAGCCCCACCCCCGAACACGAGCACGGCCAGACGCCCACGCCGACGTTCGATCGGTCCATCCTCCATCCTTCTCCTTACCGTCGCAACCCCCAGGCGTGTCGGTAGGGCGGCCTGGGCGTTTCGCCGCCTCGGGCTCGGCTCTGTTCGCCCCGGCGCCGCGCACGCCGGCTGCAAGATCGAGGGGGAGGCGTCAAGACGGGGTTCCGTGGCGTGCGTGTGTCGTTTACGTCTGCAACAGTTGCAAGGTTGCACGGATGGATAGGTCGGGCGGTCTTCAAAATATGGTTTCGGCTCCAGCGCCGCGCACCCTCGTCGTAGAGGTCTGGAGCAGCTCGGAGAGCATTGAGGGGGGTCGTGTTCCAGTTCGGTCTCTCGCCTGTCCGCGGCGCAGAGTCGTTCCTCGCTCATCGAAAGCTTGCAGAAGCTACAAGCGCTTCGCCTGGGGTCGGACCATCCCTCTCCTCCTCCTCCTCCTCCTCCTCCTCCTCCTCCTCCTCCTCCTCCTCCTAGCAATCAACATCGAGGATCGAGAGCGATCCTGGATCGATGAACGTCGAGAATCGAGGAGTAGCGAGGAGGAGAAGGAGAAGGAGAAGGAAGAGGAGGAGAAGGAGGAGGGGGTGGAGGTGGAGGAGGAGGAGGAAGAGGAGGAGGAGGAGGAGGAAGAGAGGAGGAGGAGCGAGGAGGAGGAGCGAGGAGGAGGAGGAGAGGAGGACGGGAGGACGAGGAGGAGGAGGAGCGAGGAGGAGGAGGAGGACGAGAATCGAGGAGGAGCGAGGAGGAGGAGGAGGAGGAGCGAGGAGGAGGAGCGAGGAGGATTCTCTGGTGGCCGCTTTCAACCTGGGGCTCTCACATTCGCGCCACGCGCGATACACATTGGTCGCACAGGTCGGCAACACCTGCATCGATGGACGGAGGGAGGTTTTCAAAATGAGGCCTGCGCCTGTCAGTATCGTTTAACCTCTCCTCCTCCTCCTACCTCATCCTCCCCCTCCTCGCCCTTCTCCTCCTCCTTCTCCTCCTCCTCCTCCTCCTCCTGCTCCTCCTCCCCCCTCCCCTCCTTCCTCCCCCTCCCCCCTCTCCTCCTCCTCCTCCTCCTCCTCCTCCTCCTCCTCCTCCTCCTCCTCCTCCCTCCTCCTAATCCGTGGCCGTGTGGCTCGGTCTCGCCGGACGCATGTATACTCTTGCTCTGGTCACTCCTCGTGGTCAGGCCATCGACTTGTGCTGACCGTGAGGGGTCTCGGTCTCGCTGATTCTCAGTATCGTTTAACCGGACCCCATTCTCATTCTCATCCCCTTCGAGACCCCCTCCAAATGTCCACCCCAGTTGGGGGTACACCCCTGGAAACCCGAAGGGAACGGCCTATATCCCCATGTTGGTTGGCAAATCGACCAGTGGGGCCCAGGCCACGCCGCTGGGGATGGGGGTCGGATTAATGATGCTCAGCCTGCACGCCGTGCACGGCGTTCAATGTTGAATGCCGCCAGCGACCCGGAATCGATCGATGTTGAACGATTGGACGTTGCCGGAGCGACCGATCGTTCAAGGTTGAACGATCCCCGCGGCTACACGGCACGAGCATGTCGTATGCAACACCTACATGTATCGATGGGGGCGGGGGGGCTGTGCGTTTTCAACACGCGGCTCTCCTGTCAGCGCGGCGCGCATGCGCCTCAAAAGTTTGCAGCAGTTACAAGGATGGAGCGCGGTTCTGTTTGGCAAGTGAGGTTTTGCATGCAACACGCGGATCGTGCCCCGTAGGCCCACACCGGAGCTCCACCCACGGCTCCAGTGTGGGCGCTTGCACGCGGCCTTCCGCCCATGTTGGCACACCCCTCGTGCGGATGGTGCTTCACAGGGAACGCCTCCAGCCCACGCCGGGATAGTTGCACAAGGTCCCCCCCGCCCATGCCGCTGCGTGTGCGGCTGCAGCGGCGGCGCTTGCGTGCGCCCCTTCCCCCCCCCCCCGCCAATGTGGGCAGGCCCGTGACACGATGCGTTCCCCAATGGGGAGATCCACCCATGGCCCCAGTGGAGGCGCCAGCCCGCAGTCCACCTGCCCATCCTAGCGCACACCTCACCCTCACACGGATCAGTGCCCCAGATGGAGCTCTATTTCCTTGCTTCCCGCTCTGAGCAGTGCACGAGAAGAGGGCCATCCCCTGAGCTACACGCGATTGCAGAAGGTGCGGCCCCTGACTTGGGTTAGTTTCCAGGTGGCATCGCCAAGTTGCTCTACTTCACTTCGCATCCTCCGCCTGATCCTCGGTGAACCTACGCCTCCTTCCCTTTTCTCTCATCCTCTACATCCTTCTCCTCCCATTTCTCCCCCCCTCTGTCCTCTTCCCTATTCTTCTCCTCCTGGTCCTTTTTCTGCTCTTCCTCCTCCAGTTCTCTCCTGCTCCCTCCTCCTTTGCCCTCCCTCCCTCCCTGCATTGCTCCCTTCTCTCCTTCAGATGAGGATGCTGATGCTGATGCTGATGATTATGGTGACGATGATGATCATGATCACGATCACGATCACGATCATGATGATGATGCTGCTGCTGATGATGATGATTATGCTGATACAGAATATTATGATGATGCTGCTGATGATGATTATGATGGTGATGCTGATGATGATGAGGATGGTGATGATGATGTCAGTGGTGATGATGTTTGTGATGATGATGTTTATAATGCTGATGATCTGCTGCTGGTGCGGGTGGGGATTATTATGGTGATGCTGGTGATTGTGAGGTTGATGTGATGATGATGATGATGGTGACGATAATGATGATGATGCTGCTGCTGATGGTGAGAGGGACGATGCTGCTGATGATGACGATGATTGCGATGATGATAATGATGCTGTTGCTGATGATGATGCCGATGCTAATGATGATGCTGTTGCTGATGCTGATGATACTGATGACGATGACGATGATGATGGTGGTGCTGGTGCTGATGATGAGTATACTGGTGATGACGCTGGTAGTGGTGCTGTTCATGATGATGATGATGATGATGCTGGTGGTGATGGTTATGGTGATGGTGATGATGAAGCTGTCGATGACGAAGCCGACGATGCCGATGGAGATGCGGATGATGCTGATGCTAGTGATGATGTTGCTGATGATGATGACGATGATGTACTGATGATGATGCCGACGATGCTTAGCATGCCGATGATGATGACGATTATGATGATCATGCTGATGATCATGCTGATGGTGATGATGGTGATTGTAAGTATGCTGATGATGGTGGTGTTGTTGACGATGCCAGTGTTGCTGATTATGGTGGTGCTGATGATGCTGGTGAGGCTGATGAGGTTGACAACCATGCGGATGATGATGCTTAAGTATGTTGACGGTGAGGATGTTGAATACGATGATCAGGGTGATCATAGTGCTGACGATGATGGTAATGCTGATAATGCCGAGCATGATGCTGATGTTGATTACGGTGGTGATGATGCTGAGTATGATGGCCAGTGCGTTGGTGCTGTTGACGGCGATGGTGATGATGCTGATGATGATGATGATGTTGTTGATGATGATGATGATGCTGACGATAAAGCCGATGTTGACTACGCTGATGATGACGGTCAGGATGACGATGGTTAGGACGATGACGATGTTTATGGTATTAGTGTTGATGAGTTCGAGGATCATGATGATGGTGTGGATTATGAGTATGATGCTTCTGAGTATGATCACGATGCTGATAATGATGGCGACGATGATGCTGGTAGTTCTGATGGTGAGAATACTTGTGGTGGTGCTGATATCGAAGATGGGTATGTTGATACGGGCGGTGACGATGGTGATGATGATGGTGATGGTGGGGGTGGCGATGATAATGAGGAGGAGGAAAATGGGGAGGAGGAGCATGAGGGGGATTCTCATGGACGCGGAAGAAGAGGATGCGGAGGCGGAGGCGGAGGAGAAGGAGCAAACGCAGGTGCAGGAGGAGGATGGGCAGGAGGAGGAAGCAGAGGTGGAAGCGACGGAGGAGGAGACGCACGGGTGAGCGAGTGAGGCAATCACTAAGTACTGTGATGAGCAGCGAACGGGAGGAGTGAGCGAGTTACAACCGCCATTTCCCTGCATTATCGGCACGACTTGGAGCATTAGGCCGTCCGTGACTGGCAGTTCGGTGTACATATCCTTGCTGTGTGACTGATTGCGGGACCTCCACTCCTCCTTAAGTTTGACCAGTTGCGTTTGGCAACTATACCCGCTGGAGACCTCAGAACCCGCCCTGAATGGAATGGGAGGAGGGGTCGGAGGGGTGAAGGAAGAGGAGGAGGAGGAGCAGAAGCAGGAGGAGGAGGAACGGAGGTTTCGGACGCTGCTGTCAGCTGACCATAATCCGTGCAATGGAACGTAGAAGAACGAATAGAAGGAGGGCGATGGGGTAACAGGATAAGGAGGACTGGGAGGAGGAGCAGGATGAGTTGGAAGTATATTGTCTGGAGAAGGAGGAGGAGGTGCAGGATGTTGGTGGTGATGACGATCATGAGGATGTGGACGACGACGGCGGCGATGCTGCTGATGATGATGATGCTAATGCTGCTGATGATGATGATAATGATGAGGAGGAAGTGGAGGAGGAGGATGGTGCTGCTGCTGACGAGAATGACGATGCTGATGGTGATGGTCATGATGATGATGCTGTTGCTGACGCTTACAATGATGATGGTGATGATGAGGATGATTCTGATGAATGTATGATTCTGAGGTTGATGATCGTGATGATGATGGTGCTGATGGTCGTGGTGGTGGTGATGATGATTTTGACTGTGATGATGTTGCTGATGCGGACCATGCCGATGATGGTTGTGATGATAATGCTGTCGCTGATAATGATGATGGTGATGATGATGATGATGCTGATCTTGATGATGATAATGGTGATCATCATCATGATACTACTGATACTCATGATGTTGATGGTGATGATGATGGTGATGATGGTGCTGGTGATCATGATGATGACGACGATGATGAGGATGGTGAATATGTTGACGATGATGCTGATGATGATGATAAGGAGGAGGAGGATTCTGATGATGATTTTAAGGAGGAGGAGGATTATGATGATGATGAGGATGAGGATGAGGATGAGGATGAGGATGAGGATGAGGAGCAGGATGAGGAGGAGGAGGAGGAAGAGGAGGAGGAAGAGAAGGATGATGATGATGATCATGATGCTGATGATGATGATGATGATGATGATGATGATGATGATGATGATGATGATGATGATGATGATGCTGATGCTGATGGTCGTGGTGGTGATGATGATGATGATGATGATGATGATGATGATGACGACGATGATGATAATGAAAGGAGGAGGAGGATGAGGAGGCGGAGGAGGAGAAGGAGGAGGAGGAGGAGGAGAAGGAGGAGGAGGAGGAGTTCTAGATCGATCGAGCACGAGGGCGAGGAAGGCGACGACGAGGGCGAGAGCGGCCACTCCTGCTGGGGGGTGCCGCGGCGAAGGGGCTCGCAGCCTCAGGAGGCCCAGCAATCGGCCGGTCAGCCTCGAACCTCGGTGTGGACGACGACAGCAACGATTGCTTCTCGAGGGGCTCTGCGAGCTAGACGTCTGACGTGGTGCTTCTCTTCAGGGCACGGCTCCCCGGAGGCCTGGGCCCCTTCTCGGGGACCGCCTTTCCACCCCGAGTCGTCCTTTGACGGCCTGGGGGCTCTGCAGGGGCCCTCGGGGGCCGAAGTTTGCCCAGGGCCTCTCGCCTCAGGGGCAGCGCCAGGGATCGGTTGCTCATCGCTCATCTGCCAGCGACATATCGCCGATTCGAGCTCTATGCTTCCCCTTTGAGCTGGGCCCCCCTTAGCGTAAACTCAGCGTCGGCGCTGGCACGTCCGTGGTCGAAGTCCTGCCCGCTCCTGCAGCATCCCGCCTAATCCGGCTCAGTCCGCCCAATCCAAGGCTAAATCCCGGGCTTAATCGGGGCCAATCGGGCGTAGTGGTCCGTGTTTGAAGTTGCCACCTGCGTCATTCAGACCAGCCACCTCCAGCACATTCCCGCTCAGTTCCGCCGTTTCCCGCTCAATCCAGCTTAATCCTGGGCTCACGCTGGCCTAATCAGGCCTGAGGGCCGCCGAATCGTGCTCAGCAGCGCTGGAATGTTCTTGCGCAGACTTCCCAGAGGTTGCCTTCTAACATTCCTCCTCACCGTCGTGATTCTGTCACGACGTCGGGCGCGATGGGCGCGATGGGCGGGGCGAGGGAACCCGCCGCTGGCGCAAAGGCCTCGCTGGCGAAGCCTAGGAGGAGGGGGGAGGAGGAGGAGGAGGTCGACGAGGAGGAGGAAGTCGACGAGGAGGAGGAGGAGGAGGAGGAGGAGGAGGAGGAGGAAGTGGATATGGAGGGGGAGTAGGAGGAGGAGGAGGAGGAGGAGGAGGAGGAGGAGGAGGAGGTCGACGAGGGCTTCACGCGATGGGCGCGGGCTGCGACACAGGTGCCCTGCTACAGCCTGCTCGGCATCGCCGTGCTCGCTGGCATCATCAGCACGCGTACCCAGCAGGCCCTCCTCGGGGGCGACGAGGGGAGGGAGTGAGGAGTAGGAGGGAGGGAGAGAGGAGGAGGGAGGAGGGACGAAGCAGGGAGGAGGAGGAGGAGGAGGAGGAGGAGGAGGACGAAGAGGAGGAAGAGGAGAAGGAGGAGGAGGAAGAGGAGGAGAGAGGGAGGGAGGGAGGATGAGAGGGAGGGAGGGAGGGAGGGAGGAGGAGGAGGACTAGGAGGAGAAGGAGTAGGAGGAGGAGAAGGAGAAGGGGGGAGGATGAGGATCAGGATCAGGATGAGGATGAGGATAAGGATGATGATGCTGCTGATGATGATGATGCTGATGATGATGATGCTGCTGATGATGATGATGATGATGATGCTGCTGATGATGATGCTGATGCTGATGCTGATGATGATGCTGATGCTGATGCTGATTATTATGCTGATGATGCTGATGCTGGTGCTGATGCTAATGCTGCTGCTGATGATGATGATGATGAGGAGGAGGAGGAGGAGGAGGAAGATAGGTATGGAAGCTCTCCCCAGTGGCGACGAGATTGTTGGGGACGTCAACCATCCACCTCTCTCGCGTTGGCCAGGCCGAACCTTGTCGCCTCGACCGGTCCATGGCACCTTCCTGGCTTGGCTAGGAAGACCTCTATCCTATGTGCTGGGTCCAGGATCCGCCCAGGCAGGGTCAGCGAGGTGGACTGTCTGGCGCCCTGTGGCCCCCGAAGAGGGACGAGCACGGGCCCTCGCGAAGACGGGCCGATTAGAGGAAGCGTCAGGGGGGGGCGTGGGCGCAGGGGGGATGCAGCGACCCCGCAGCTCCGCCGCCAGGTCTGCGGCCTGCCTGGCCCGGCCGAGCTCCTCTTCTCCACCATTGGGCCGTGGCCCTCCTCGTCGTCCTCCCTCCTCCTCCTCGTCCTCCCCCTCCTCCTCCACCGCCGCCTCCTCCTCCTCGTCCTCCTCGCCCGGTCATCGCCGAAGGGGGGGCCCGACAGCCCGACCCGCCCAGGAGGGGCGCGGACTCGGAGTGCGGGCCCCGTCGCCGACCCGTCGGCGCGGCATCGCCGGGGCGCCAGCTCGAGGTTCCCCCCCTCTGAGCCTGCCCTCCCCTGTAAGTCAAGCAGTGGCGAAGCGTCCTGGCTCGCCTATGGCCCCACCAGAGAATGTTCTAAGAAGCTTTTGTGGTTTGCACGGAATGTTCTTAGAACATGTGTGATTGATAATGTCTTGGTTTAACACATCGGGTTAGTGTTCTAAGAACATTGCTGTTGTTCTTAGAACAGGTTGGGGTTCTAAGAACATTTCGTGGTAGGACTATAGGAATGCCGGGACGGCTGCTCAAGGGTCGGGGGGCTTCGGAGGGACCTCCAGGACATGAGGCTCTTCAGGGCTGAGCGGCCTGCGCGGTGGCAGACATCGGGGCCCACGTCACCGAGGCAGGAGCCCGCAGGCTGCAGGAAGCGCTCGTCCCCACAGCTCAGTGGCAGGGGGTTATTGGGGGTCGCTCCTCCTCCTCCTCCTCCTCCTCCTCCTCCTCCTCCTCCTCCTCCTCCTCCTCCTCCTCCTCCTCCTCCTCCTCCTCCTCCTCCTCTCCCTTCTCCTCCTGCCCCTCCTCGTTTCTCCTCGCGCTGGATCTGCGGGGCCGCCTCCCACAAGGGGTCCCGCCTTATTCTGCGAGGGGGGGGCCCAGCAGCCGAGTCAGCCTCGGGGCCTCCAGGGGTGGGGGGGGGGGAAACCGACGCGAGGAGGTGCCGCGCGGGGTCGGAGACCAGCGCAGACTCGCTCAGGACAGGAGCCCGCGGGCACTCAAAACGCTGGAAGATCGAGAGAACGAAGACACGGGTTGGGACGCGTGGACTAGTCAGCGACGCGTCCCGTGTCCATACGTCCCTACTCCATGCCAGTGTGTGCCGATAGGCCCATTTTCTATCACCACTACCATAGGTAGGAGAGGGAAGAGGAGGAGGAGGAGGAGGAGGAGGAAGACCTCCTCATCCTTCCTTCTCCCCCGTCCTACATATGGTAGTGGTGGTGGAAATTTGCCCATCAGTGTGCCCGAGAAGGGATGGAGCGGTTCTGGTTCGGACGGGGCGTGTTGTTGTTCGGGCCTTTCCACGGTGGCTCCTCTGGCGATGGTCGTGCACCCCGTCGTTGTTCTGTCTCAGGGACTCAAAGGTCATAACGACAATGCGCTCCTGACAAGATTCCAGAATTGTCGAGATGGTCTGAATTTCCACACGGGCTGCAGAAACGAGGGCCGCGAGATACTCCGAACATCCTTGAACGCATCCTGAACCAATCATATCACAACACAAGTCTCGTCCTATTTTGGACTAACTGTCTTATTCAGCGTCCCCTATGGTACCAGCCTGACTTTAACCGTTTAGTCAGTGCGTCTTCGTTACCTTGGCGCTTCTGTGGTAGTTCTGTTTCCACGGCTACGACAAAGAGAGGCCCACGGCTTTGGCAGCACGCGAGGCCTTTGTTGATCTATCAGTGCCGCGGCTTCTTCCAACGGCCCTCTCCTGGCATTCTCCACCCCATACGAACATATTCATAGGACGGTGTGACTACGACGGATACGGATGAGGATGTTGCTGCAGATGATGACGAAGAGTGTGGCGTGACAATTCGAAGCTACATGCACCTGGCCCGCAGACCTCCGCAGTGTTCTTGCAGCGCGAGGCGCGGAATGCTCTGCGCTTGCCGCGTGATCAGGCGCGTTGCCTCTTGCTCCAGCTCGCCGCGAGGCGCCGTGCCCACGGGTGTTTCGGCCCCTGCCGCCGTCGCCTCGTGGAGATGATGCCGATGATGACGACGTTGCCTATGCTGATGACGATGCTGCTGGTATGTATGCTGATGGCTGTGACGATGACGACGAAGATGATGACGATGCTGCTGCTGCCGATTAGGGTTACGTATGCTCGTGATGTTGACGATGATGTTGATGCTGTTTATGATGAACATGATCCTGCTGCTGATGATGATGCCGACCATGCTGATGGTGATGGATGCTGATGCCTGGGATGATGACGATGACGACGACGATGGCACTGACGATGCTGATGATGATGCTGATGAGGATGAGGACGAGGATGAGGATGATAATGACGATGACGATGACGACGATGATGACGATGACGATGATGATGATGATGATGATGATGATGATGATGAGGATGAGGATGAGGATGAGGATGATGATGGTGATGAGGATGATGATGCTGATGATGATGATGATGAGGACGAGGATGACGATGATCATGATCATGATCATGCTGATGAAGATGATGATGATGATGATGATGATGATGATGATGATGATGCTGATGATTATGCTGCTGATGATGATGGTAATGGTGGTGATGTTGATTGTGCTGATTATTGTGCTGATGCTGATGAGGAGGAGGATGAGGATGATGATGAGGATGATGATTAGGATGAGGGCGATGATTATGGCGATGATTGCTGTGGTGGTGATGAGGTATGTGACTATGAGAAAATTTATCTGGCGACAATGAGGGTGATGATGGTGACGATTATGGCGAGTATGGCGGGAAGGGGGAAGAGGAGGCGGAGGAGGAGGAGGTGGAGGTGGAGGGGGAGGGGGAAGGGAAGCAGGAAGGAGACAAAGAGGAAGAGGAGGAGGATGAGGAGGCGGAGGAGGAGGATGAGGAGGCGGAGGAGGAGGCGGAGGATGAGGAGGAGGAGGAGGAGGAGGAGGAGGAGGATAGGGAGGAGGCGGCAGAGAGGATCAGCAGGATGACCAGGTGTGGCTCTACGGCGCCATGCTCTTCGTGGTGGGCTTCACGCTGCCGCCCTCCGGCCAGATCGGCTACCTGCTCATGCAGGAGTCGGTGCCGGAGCGCCTGCGTGCCGCCACCACGGTCCAGGGCGGGGCACGGCTCGGCACGCCGAGAGAGTGGGGGAGAGAGAGGTAGAGGTAGTTCAGCAGGGCCACCGTTCCACCGACATTGTTTCTTCCTCGACGTGTCCTGGGGTATGGCCGCTACATGTTGATGGTCCGCGTGTCTGCGTCTCCCGCGCGTTCCACACTGCTTGTCGTGCGCGCCGTTGTGTGGAGGCTGTCGCTCGGATGTCCTCTCTCCTCGCCTCCTTCCACGAAGAGCATCTTCGATTTTGGTCCCTGGGGCCCGTGGACGGACCCCAAGCTCGCATCGAAAACGGAGTCGGGACGGAAGGGGCTCCTTCGGGGCCTCTGTAGGGCACGGTCACCGCGCCACCGACCGAGACGGATCGGGTGCTGCCAGAATCGGAGGCCTAGGGTGGGTACCAACACCGAGATCGGAGGTAGGGGGGCGAGGTCCGAGGCTCCGGGTTCGAGACGGTTGTTTGTTGCCGTTTTCGGCCTCGGGGGTTCGGGTCCCGGGACTGTCAAACATGGATCGGGGGTGAAGCATTGAACCCGATGTACTCTGGGAGGGGCGGGGACCGATTTTGAGCGGGTCTGCCCCTGTCCCCTTCTCGTGGCAGACGTTCTCAGGGCCCATCCAGCTCGGACCCCCTGTGCCGCCTCCAGGGGGGGGGCTTGGCACAGGATCCCCGCGAGCATTGTGGTGGGACACGCTCGCGAGCGACGGCACGGGGTGGTGGCGCCCCCGCCCCAGGGCCCTCGTTCCTCCTCATCCGTCCTCGCCCCTCCTCCTCCTCCTCCTCCTCCTCCTCCTCCTCCTCCGTCCTTGCCCCTCTCCGTCCTCCTCCTCCTCCCTCCTCCTCCCCCTCCTCCTCCTCCTCCCTCCTCCTCCTCCTCCTCCTCCTCCTGTCCCCTCCCTCCTCCTCCTCCTCCTCCTCCTCCTCCTCCTCCTCCTCCTCCTCCTCCTCCTCCTCCTCCTCCTCCTCCTCCTCCTCCTCCTCCTCCTCCTCCTCCTCCCTCCTCCTCCTCCTCCTCCTCCCTCCTCCTCCTCCTCTCCTCTCCTCCTCCTCCTCCTCCTCCTCCTCCTCCTCCTCCTCCTCCTCCTCCTCCTCCTCCCCCGCCCCTCCTCCTCCTCCTCCGCCTCCTCCCCCTTCTCCTCCTCCTCCTCCTCCTCCTCCTCCTCCTCAAGCACATGGGGCCCAAGGCGCGTATATCCTTTTGGCTCGAGCGCGTCATGGGCCCTGCCCCGCCGCCTCATCGCGGCGTGCTTGTGGCTATCCGCACCTCTGGTCTTCTTTCTTGAGGCGCGGATCGGCTAAGGGCGGGGCGAAGTCTTGCAGTCAGGCGTCATTCAATTTTGTATTTTGTTCTGCCAAGGTGCCGTACTACTGCATTTGTGAGTGGTTCTCAAGCGAATCGGCTGGCGTGGACTGGATGGTTTGGAGTTTTTCTCCGCTTTCCTGTGCACATTCCTCGTTGTCCGTCTCGGGTGCGGGGCCCATGGGGGGAGCCTGGTTGTGCATTTACCCACCCGCCCGCACCCGAGCGTACTATTTCAAGCTGTCGGGCCGCGCTTCGAGGGACCTGAGGATGCTGGGGGTATGGGCATCATCGCTCTTTATGTTTGGTGCCAGCTTCATTGCATGCAAGAATGGTGAAGATCGCGGCAATGTTTGTATTCAGTCGGTTTGGCTTCATAGCTACACACAGTTCGGCGTACAGGCTTCCTTGTCAATGTGCTCGTGCTGCCATGGTGCTGCATCGCTGGATGTATGGGTGCCGGCTTGTCTGTATTCTGCGTGTCGAGGTACTTGAGGGTGCAAGGGTTGTTCCAATCACCGTTGTTTGGTGGCGCTGTCCTTCTGCATTCAATAATGGTGAAGCTCGTGGTTTGTAGTGTCGGCATCATACACTAATTTCGGCGTTCAGTCTTCCACGTCAGTGTAATTCAATAGTTTGTTTTGTACGTGGGTACGGCATTCTGGATTGGCATGGCGGGGCTGTTTGTGGAGGAGGCGATCCCTCTGAGGGGTTGCCCGATGACCAGTGCTGTGTATCGAGACTTGGGCTCGTGTTGTACACATCATTGAAAGGGCCGCATCGAGCCGATTTCACCTCAGCCGAACCTTGAATCAATAGGTATGTTTTTCGCCGCGTACGTGTACCATTCCCTCGTCTACCTGGAGGCGGTCAGTGGGTGGCTTTTAGTTTAAGACTTCGTCTTGTTATCATGCTCATGCTCATGCTCCTCCTCCTCCTCCTCCTCCTCCTCATCCTCCTCCTGATCCTGCTGCTCCTGCTGGACCTGCCCCCTCTGGCCTGGCCGGGGACGAACGCTTCGCCGCCCGGGGCCCGGGAGGGGCGCTTGGCCAGCGGCGGTGGATGCGTGCAGGTCCAGCAGGAGCAGCAGGAGGAGGAGGAGGAGGAGGAGGAGGAGGAGGAGGCAACGACGTTCTTCAAGCAGTGGCGAAACGTCCCATGTTGCCTATAGCCCCACCGAGCAATGTTCTAAGAACCTGCTGTGGTTATCTCAGGACATCTCAGGCAGAGTCTGTCGTGTTCTTGGATCATCTTTGGGGTTCTAAGAGCATGTCGTGGTAGGACTCTTGGAATGCCGGGACGGCCGGTCCGTGCTCAAGTTCTGGAGGGGAGGGGGAGGGGGAGGGGTCGCTCTTCGTTCCCCCCCCAGAAGTCGTGGGGGGCATGGGGCAGGGTTCGCACGTGGCCCCCCTGGTCGCCCTGCCACCCTCCTCGGGGGCGGGCCTCCGCTGTCGCGGGCTCCAGGCGGGCGCGGCCGGGGCTCGGCGGTGCGCCGTTCCTGGGAGGCGGGAGGGCGTGCCCGGCCCCGCTCGCGGAAGGGACGCGCGCGCCCGGCGTGGGGGTCCGTAGCCGTTTGGCCCAGGCTGTCCTGCACCACGCCCTGAGATCCGACGCGGCGGGGAAGTGGCAACCGCGAGAGTCGGGCGGATGGCAATGGGGGGTGGCCCCAATGGAGGGTGAAGAAAAGGGCCCTAGGGGGGCCCTTTCTGGCCCCACTTGGAGCCAGCTGGTGCCCCAAAGGTGCTCTCAAGGACCCCATTTAGGGACCTTCTCTTCACCCCGAAGGGGGTCACCCCCCATTGCCACCAGCCCGAGAGGGAAGCCATCACCAGAGCCCTAGTAATGATGTTCCAATGTGTTTTAGCCTTGAACACCAGAAGGAATTTCGAGCACCAGGAAAGTACCGAAACTGGAGGGTTTCCGCGTGTCGGGCCCTGGGAGGCGACACTCCTCCGACACTGTTTCGATACTTTTTTTCTGGGTGCTCGAAACTATTTCTGGGATGTGGTCCTTAAGCACGATGGGAGCAACAGAGCCAGAACCCTGGATTCGGTCTTCCTGTGGCATTTCTCGAGCCAGATCGAGCCGCGATAGCCCCAGGGCCCGGCACTGGGCGGACACGCCCAGTGCGTCAGCAAGCTGCCGTGCACGGATCTCGGGTTAAGTCGGGCGTTTCCCTCTACAGGAGGAATGTTCAAAAGTAGACAAAGAATAGTCGGGGGACGATTTTTATATTGCTTCTGAGCATTGATTGAATGTGTTTTGACTGTTTTTATCTCTCGTCCAACATCCCCTTGTAGGGGGACACGCCCGACTTCAATCTCGGGGCCTCGCTCCAACGATGCGGGTGACGGCGCGGTTCAAGGCAACCGCTTGCCGCCCGGCCTCTCCATGAGCTGGTACGAGTGGTTTTTCTCGAGGAGCAAAATTTCATGGCGCCAACATCGCAGAGCGGATTTCGTTCGGAGAACGATAGGGTTGGCCTGGGGTGTCCTGGAGAATTTCGTTCCGGATTTCGAGGTGAATTTCGTGCGGACTTGCTGGGCCAGGAGTGAACACCAAAAAGAATACACGCGAAATCCACTTCGTTTTTCGCTCGCCGCTTCGGGCAGAAATCTATGCAGCCTGCAAGGCCGGTGCAATGACAAATTCTAGATGCTTCGCGTGCCCCCACCAGCGCTACCCTGGCCGTTTGCAGTCAGCTCAGCCAGCTCCCCATCCGCCCGCGGCCCCCCTGGCGGTAGGTTCTGAGCGCGGGCTCGGCCGCTGTGCTTTTAGGCTTGCGCGCTGCTAGTTTGACAGGCCCGTGGCCCAGACCTCTCAGCTCGGCGACTGCGAATCCGCGTCCGCCCGCGACAAAAAAATGCCCCCACCAGCTCGCTCCAGTGCGCTGAGTGCGTAATTTAGGTCGTTGCATTGTTGCTTCGTTCTGACGGCGCGCGGCTGTACGGTCTGCGCTCGCGACCAAAAACGTATCTCCACCAGCAGGTTCCGCCCGTAGCCGGGGTCGGCCCTTGACGCCACCGGCGTTTTCGCTTGCGGCTCAGACCAAACATCCCCACCAGCCCATCCAGAAACGATGTCCAGGCAAGTTGAGGTGATCAGGGAAGTGTGGGAGCAAAGATTGGGGACTGCAGAAGTGTGCGAAGGAGGGAGGAGGAGAAGGAATGGGCTGGATGGATGGACAAGGGAGTGGGGAGAAGGAGGATGAATGGGAAGAGGAGGAAGAGGAGGAGGAGGAGGAGGAGGAGGAGGAGGAGGAGGAGGAGGAAAAGGAGGAGGAGGAGGAGGAGGAGGAGGAGGAGGAGGAGAAAACGAGGGAGGAGGATGAGGAAGAGAAGGAGTAGGAAGGAAGGGGGAGCAGGAGGTGGAGGGCAAGCAAAAGGTGCGGAGGTCTTTTGGATGCCTCTAGGTGCCTCTTGTGATATCTCTTGGGCGTTTCTTGGTGGCCTCTTGGGACGTCTTGAGGGTCTCTTGGCGGTCCTGGGGGGCTCTTAGGAGTCTTGGGTGCATCAGGGGGGCCTCTTGGGGCCGCTTGGGGTCCTTTTGGGGGCCTCCTGGGGGCCTCTTGGGGGCGTATTGGGGCCATATTGGGGCCATCTTGGGGCCTCCTGGGCGTCTCTCAGGGCTATCTTGGAGAACCTCCATCAAAGAAGGGGGGGTCCTTCATTAGCGCGCCCCCTCGGGAGCCCC